AGCCCAGACCTTAACCCAATGGAAAATCTATGGAGCCGACTCAAGAAACTTGTTAGTCAGAAGCAACCCAGCAATAAAACCCAGTTAATAGAAGCCATCATTCAATCTTGGTTTTACATTATAACAGCTGCAGAACTCAAAGACTTGGTTCACTCCATGGGAAGAGACATTGTAAGGGCGTAATTCATGCTAAAGGTCACCCAACTAAGTATTAACTGACATAGTGATAATTTTTGTATATCTCATTTTTTCTATGGTGATCATTTTTGTATATCTCGTTTTTTCTACATATTTCACTTTCCTTCTGCGTACTGTAACTGTATTCTAATAGCAAATCCTTCATATAACAACGGAAAGATAATTTAATCAAGAATGTAATGCAATAACATTCTTGATTAAATTATCTTTCCATTGTTATATAATTCTATGGTATTAGTCCAAAAAGAAGTGGGGTTATTAGCTCGTTTTAGAAAATACACTTTTCCCAAAAGGTTTCCACAATTTTGGCCACTACTGTAATTTTGTATTTTGTATCTTCTTTTATTTTATAACTCAATAAAAATGTTAAACTAAAAAAGAAAGAAAGAAAGAGCAAAACTCTTGGGACGAATGTTCTTTTAAGGCACAAATGCTTTTTCTTGAGGATTAAAAAAAAACCTTAATGATTTACGTTTCCTTGATTATAACTCAGGGAGAATGGGATGGGGGTGCAGAGGGACGAAATTTGTGGTGGTTAAAAACAGTCAAGATGGAAGCTACAACCATGTGGTAGAAACTTTGCACATTTTTAACAGATGTGGCTTGAGCAGTACACATGAAACAAATCAATCAATCAGAACACAGCTTGAAGGGATCTCCAAAGCACGTGACGGCAAGACAAGAAGCAATGGATGGAAACTAATCAAGCAGAGAAGCAACCTAGAACTCAGGAGAAATTTCCAAACAGTGACAATAATTAATCAGTGGAACAACTTGCATTCAGTAGTTGTGAATGCTCCAATACTGGTGGTTTTTAAGAAGAGATTGGACAAATATTTGTCTGGAATAGAATAGGGTTTCCTGCTTAAGCAGGGGATTGGATCAGAAAATCAATTAATCCTCTTGATATCAACACAAATGTTAAAAATTAAACGAAAGGGAAGAAATGAGGTATGTTTTGTGGAAGATATTGTGGAGTTGGGTAAGGCATATAGAATAGAATAGAATAGAATAGAATAGAATAGAATAGAATAGAATAGAATAGAATAGAATAGAATAGAATAGAATAGAATAGAATTCTTTATTGGCCAAGTGTGATTGGACACACAAGGAATTTGTCTTTGGTTCATATACTCTCGGTGTACATAAGGAAAATAAAATACATTCATCAAGAATAAAAAGATACAACACTTAGTGATAGTCAAGGTTACTAATAAACTATGAAATCATACTAGGATAACAAATAAAAACAATATAATTGAAAGATACAAGCAACATGGTTATAATAATAAGTGGGAAGAGATAGATACTAGTAAGGAAGAGAAGAATAGTAGTAATACAGTCTTAGTAAATTATTTGACAGTGTTGTGGAAATTATTTGTTAAGCGGTGTGATGGCATTTTGGAAAAAAAAACTGTCCTTGTATCTAGTTGTTCTGGTGTGCAGTGCCCTGTAGCATCATTTTGAAGGTAGAAGTTGAAACAATTTATGTCCTGGATGCGAGGAGTCTGTAAATATTTTCACAGTCCTCTTTTTGACTCATGCAGTACACAGGTCCTCAATGGAAGGCAGGTTGGTAGCCATTGTTTTTTCTGCAGTTCTAATTATCCTCTGAAATCTGTGTCTGTCTTGTTGGGTTGCAGAGCCAAAGCAGACAGTTATGGAGGTGCAGATGACAGATTTCAGATGGTTTCAGATATACCACAGAACTGCACAGAGCATAGCAATAATTTCTCTTTGGTACAGTTATTGAATACATGAAGGAAGTCATGGATTCACTGTTCCCATCATTCTTGCTCTTGTTGTTGCTATAATTATTATTATTAGGGATTTCTGAGGTGATCCACACTATGTGTGTATCTCTTAATGGAAACAACTCATGATAGATGTGCACACCATTTTGTGTAGTGATGGACATAAATCTTCATTTTGGTGGTGGTGAGAGTGGATGGGACAGTTATGTGGTGGACCAAAGGTGAGAGAGAGAGAGAGAGAAGAGAGAGAGAGAGAGGGAGGGAGGGAGAGAGAGAGAGAGAGAGAGAGAGAGGGGGAGGGAGAGAGAGAGGAGGGAGAGGGAGAGAGAGAGAGAGAGAGAGAGATCTGTAATTATATTGTCAACTTGGAAAGCATCCCTGGCCTGCTCTCGAGTTCCCATAGGCAAGGGGGATGGAAAACAAACTTGCAACTAGAGTGAAGCAGCATGGCAGCTAAAAACAAAAGCACATTCCAGACAGATCTCTGTCAAGATTGTCTCCCAGGGTTACCCACAGTGGCTGGAGGGGAGTGATCTCTACAACCTGTGAAATTGCTTTGTTGGCAAATGTGACTGATGACACATCCTGGGGGGGGGTATAGGGTCAAGCCTGGGCTGTAAATTACATGGGGTCAGATATGATTTCACTTGGAACCTGCCGCCATGAAGCTCCTAATAAATAAATGGATTTGTTTTGAAGCTTGGCTCGAGGCTCATGATTTAATTAGGGCATCCGTTGGAACCCTGACATATATATTTGCCTTGAAGATAATCAGTTTGATTGTATTTGTACAATTTGTACAGTCAATTGGTTTGAATGTATTTGTCCATTCATGTCAATATTAACCATGATTTTGGAATGTTAGTGACCAAAAGGTTGTTTAAATTGAATATTTAAAGCTAATTGAAGGGAGAGAGAGAAAGAGTTATCCAGAGAGAAATTCCTTGAAGATGGGGTCTAACATGAGTCCCAAAGCTTGGAAGAAAAAACCTCTGGTCCTGGTAACCGATCTAGATTGGATCCTGCAATATTAATTTTAGCCCATAGACTGAAAGGAATATTAAGCCATATATTAAAATCATGTCAACCATTTCTAAAAGTTTCAACATATTTATTTCCACAAGGCCTGTGGGGTTCCTGAGGGAAGACAAGTGGAACAAGGGGGCTTCAGGGGGTGGGAAGAGTCTTGAGAGGTATGGTGGACCTGGGGCTTCTCGGCATCTCAAGGCATTTCCCCCAATCGTTAGGCAACCCACGCTCTGTTTAACAACCACATTGGAAGAGCAAGAATGGATGTTGTTAAGGTGAACCACACTATGTGTGTGTCTCTTAATGGAAACAACTCGTGATAGATGTGCACACCATTTTGTGTGGTGATGGACATACATCTTCATTTTGTTGGTGGTGAGAGTGGATGGGACAGTTATATGGTGGACCAAAGGTGAGAGAGAGAGAGAGGGAAGGAGGGAGGGAGGGAGAAAGAGAGAGAGAGATCTGTAATTATATTGTCAACTTGGAAAGCATCCCTGGCCTGCTCTCGAGTTGCCATAGGCAAGGGGGATGGAAAACAAACTTGCAACTAGAGTGAAGCAGCATGGCAGCTAAAAACAAAAGCACATTCCAGACAGATCTCTATCAAGACTGTCTCCCGAGGTTACCCACAGTGGCTAGAGGGGAGTGATCTCTGCAACCTGTGAAATTGCTTTGTTGGCGAATGTGACTGATGACACATCCCGGGGGGGGGGTAGAGTCAAGCCTGGGCTGTAAATTACATGGGGTCAGATATGGTTTCACTTGGAACCTGCCGCCATGAAGCTCCTAATAAATAAATGAATTTGTTTTGAAGCTTGGCTTGAGGCTCATGATTTAATTAGGGCATCCGTTGGAACCCTGACATATATATTTGCCTTGAAGATAATCAGTTTGATTGTATTTGTACAATTTGTACAGTCAATTGGTTTGAATGTATTTGTCCATTCATGTCAATATTAACCATGATTTTGGAATGTTAGTGACCAAAAGGTTGTTTAAATTGAATATTTAAAGCTAAGTGAAGGGAGAGAGAGAAAGAGTTATCCAGAGAGAAATTCCCTGAAGATGGGGTCCAACATGAGTCCCAATGCTTGAAAGAAAAAACCTCTGGTCCTGGTAACTGATCCAGATTGGATCCTGCAATACTAATTTTAGCCCATATACTGAAAGGAATATTAAGCCATATATTAAAATCATGTCAACCATTTCTAAAAGTTTCAACATATTTATTTCCACAAGGCCTGTGGGGTTCCTGAGGGAAGACAAGTGGAACAAGGGGTGCTTCAGGGGGCGGGAAGAGCCTTGAGAGGTATGGTGGGCCTGGGGCTTCTTCTCAGCCTCTCAAGGCATTCCCCCCAATCGTTAGGCAACCCACGCTCTGTTTAACAACCACATTGGGAAGAACAAGAATGGAGGTGGTTAAGCAAGGTGATCACATGACTGCCTCATGTAATGACTGTCAAGAGTTGTGACTATGATAGGTGGGCTCCATTAAGGATGCAGAGGGTCCTTGACTTACAACAGTTCATTTACTGAAAAAATGACTTATGACCATTTGTCACAGTTACAACCATCGCAACATCCCAACATCAAAATTAAGATGTTTGGCAACTGATTCATATTTATGACAGTTGCAGTGTCCTGGGATCATGTGATCAGCTTTTGGGAAGCCAATGGGGAAGCCAGATTCACTTAACAACCATGTTACTAACTTAACAATTGCAGTGATTCACTTAACAAGTGTGGCAAGAAAGGTTGTAAAATGTTTCAACTTAGCAACAAGAATTTTGGGATCAATTTTGGTCGTAAGTTGAGGACTACCTGTACTTATAAGTATCATATGTATGGATACATTCCTTTAAGGAAGTCAGAAACAAAAAGATTAAAGGTAAAGGTTCCCCTTGCACATACAGTATGTGCTAGTCCATCCTGACTCTAGGGGGCGGTGCTCATCTCCGTTTCAAAGCCGAAGAGCCAGTGCTGTCCGAACATGTCTCCGTGGTCATGAGGCCGGCATGACTAAACGCCAAAGGCGCCCAGAACGCTGTTATCTTCCCACCAAAGGTGGTCCCTATTTTTCTACTTGCATTTTTTACGTGCTTTCAAACTGCTAGGTTGGCAGAAGCTGGGACAAGTAACGGGAGCTCACCCTGTTATGTCGCACTAGGGATTTGCCTTTGGAAGTTCTGAGAGCTTCATCACTGGAGGCTTTCAAGAAGAGATTGGACTTCCATTTGTCAGAAATGACATACGGTCTCCTGCATTGGACTAGATGATCTACAACGTCCCTTTCAACTCTGTTAATCTGTTAAAATGATGGTAAATATTGCTGATGGATAGTTTGCCCACTCGTCATCTTGCTCTTTCAAACAAGATTTTAGGGAAAACTGGAGGGTTTTTTTCTTAATGCTTTCCAAATCGCTTCTTTCACTTCATTGTTCCTAATAGTATAAACAAAAGGATTGAGCACTGGAGCGACCGTAGTATGGACCACAGAAACGGACCGGATTACACCGAAGGAAGAATTCTTCATAGTAGGTCTTAAATAGACAAAAAAGACTGACCCATACAAAATGCAGACCACCACCAAATGGGAAGCACACGTCGAAAAGGCCCTCTGCTGTCTGGTTGATGAAGACATTCGGAGAATGGTGAAGATGATGAAGAGGTAAGAAATGAGGGTGAAAAGCAGAGAGGACATCACTACGACTATAGTACTAAGGAAGCTCAGGGCTTCAATGAGATGTGAATCTCCTCCTGCAATCTTTAAAACAGGCCCAGCGTCGCAAAAGAAATGATTGATAATGTTGGAGCTGCAGTAGGGTAGGTTAGCGACCAGGATAACCTGACCAATCACGTAGGAAAAAACCACAACCCAGGCTGCCACAGATAGCTTCAAGCAAACCGCAGAAGTCATGATTGTGGCGTATCTCAAAGGATAGCAAATGGCTAAGAATCTGTCCAAGGATATCAACGTGATGATGAAAAATTCTGTAATGCCAAAGAAGAAGTAAAAGAACAGTTGTGTTATGCAGCAGTAGAAACAGATGGAATTGTTTGCAGAGAGATAGTTGACTAGCAGTTTAGGAATAAAAGCGGTGGTGTGTCCAATGTCAATGCAAGAAAGGTTGCTAAGGAAGAAATACATGGGCTTCTGGAGATGGCGGTCCAAAATTACCATCACAATGATGAGCCCGTTGCCCATCAGACACAGGAGGTAGAGCAGAAAGATGCCTGCATGCATCACACCTTCCATTCGTCCTACCGGTGGCAATCCGACCAGGATAAACTCTACCGCTCTCGTACAGTTGGTCAAATTCATGTTCTCCTATAAGATCGGAAAATACGGCATCTTCAATGAGTCACTTTTTAAACACATTTCTAAATGTGGTTTTCATGAATTACTGTTGTGTTTGGAACACATAAAACATACTAGTGCATTTACAGAAATGCTATCAGATCAAGTACTATACTATGTGGTGGACATGCCCCAAAGCAAAAAAAAAAAAAAAAAACCTTGTCAAAAATACATACATGGTTGGGAAAAATGATAAAGCAACATATTGATTTGAAGCCAGAAATATTTTTGTTGGGTATTCTACCGGATAAATATAATAAGGGGAATATATATTTGATCTTACATGTATTAATTGCATCCAGAATTGTATTTGCACAACGATGTAAAAGTGAAGAGATTCCTACAGATGAAAATGTGATTAAAAATATTAGAATGTGCAGAAATGAATAGATTAACACTTACAATTAAGGGAGAAACGGAATAGTTTTTGACATGGGGTTTATTTGATCAATGGTTAGCTAACAAAAACAGAAGTTAGAAACATGGAAATATAAGAAAAGGATCAATGCAAGAAGGGAGGTTTGTTAAGATAGAAAAGTAAATATTATGATTATTATTTCTATTATTATAGAATTAATATTAATGTAATGATCATCGTTGTAAAGACCATGATTATTACTTTTCAAAACTTTTTGTACCCAGACAATACACTCTTTAATTGAAAGTGGAATTTTTATTTGATAATATATATATATATATATATATATATATATATATATATATATATCACCCCATATTAGTACATTTAGTATGATAAGTGCCCAGGACTATCGCCAAGACTTCATTTATTGGATTTCCAGGTCTTTCATTTAAAGCCTTCTTCATCCTTCCAGCTTTTGTATCTTCAGTAGATAGAAAATATTGCTGAACCAAATTCAGAGTTTGATGGAGGGATGTTGAGAGCAGTAGGACAACATTCGGAGGTGGAAACTCATCTGGATATGCAACACGGACGCATTTCACGGCTGTCCCAAAGTGGCTTTTTTCAAGAAGCTACTGGACTTTATTTGTTTTTCCTTGAAGATGTTTCACTTCTCATCCAAGAAGCTTCTTCAGCTCTGACAGGAGCTTCCATTCCCCACTATCCTGTCAGAGCTGAAGAAGCTTCTTGGATGAGAAGTGAAATGTCTTCAAGGAAAAACAAAGAAAGTCCAGTAGCTTCCTGAAAAAGCACCTTTGGGATATTATTACTATAATACATATATCAGTATTCAACTAGTGAGGGACGATACATGTATATATATATATTAATTTGATTTATATGCCGCCCTTCTCCGGAGACTCAGGGCGGCTTACAATGCGTTAAGCAATAGCCTTCATACTTTTGTATATTTATACAAAGTCAGCTTATTGCCCCACAAACTGGGTCCTCATTTTACCTACTTTAGAAAGGACGGAAGGCTGATTCAACCTTGAGCCTGGTGAGATTCGAACTTACAGTAATTGCAGACAGCTGGTGTTAATCACAATGCTATCAGTCTGCTGAGCCACCAGGCCCATATGTGTTCTTGTCTTTCGTTTTTCAGTTTTAATGCACTTTTTTTTTAAAAAAAATAATGCCTAGTGTTGTTTTGTCTTTGTAAATTTTTCTTCTTTTTTGAAAGTGCGCATTTTAATTTTCTGAATAGAATAAAAAACTTTTATATAAAATATTCTCATCCCCAGCTGAGCACGACCGAGTAAACCTGTTGATACTATGAAAGTTCATCATAACATTCGGTGCATATTTATTAAAATTCTTTGCCATCTATCTAGCCATGGGGTCACTCTAGGCAACTTAGAAGCATAAAAAGAGAGAAATGAAAAGTATGTGGGGGAAAAAAAAGAAAAAAAAACAGAAGGAAGAATACAGAGCAATAGGAAGCTTGGGTGCTCTCTTAGCTTGCTTGTTATACATAAGTACACAATCTCTGAAGAAACTTCTTGGATGAGAAGCAAAACATCTTCAAGGAAAAACAAAGTCCAGTTGCTTCTTGAAAAACTTGGGATAGTTTATAGACATCAACCCATATGCTTCTACTGTATATGAATACTTGCTAAATTTCTCTCTCTCTGGATAATCTTGGATGACCACGACAGAAAGAACGCAAATAACATATTTCTACATGCACATACCCAACATTCTTACGAATAAGAAGTGAAGATCCTCAACAGTGAGGGAGACTGAGATTGTTCTCCATTTCAATCTGAGACAAGAAAAGCAGCTATGGACACCTGCTAAATAGATCCCCAAATCATAGCAGTAATAACAAAATAATAATAACACTTTTTACAACTTCTCCGTGGAGATTTTACATCCTCAAACAGGATCCTCAGGTTTCAATAGCTTGCAAAGAAATATTTTATCTACTCTGGTAAAGCCAAAAAAAACCCCGTTTTACCTAGTTTTTTAAAGCCTTTTCTGGAAATTAGTTCATAGAAATGAGAAGTTATGGAGTGATGTTTCGTAGACACCCGAGATAACCTCTCCAGAGGAAGTCTGTTTCTAATTTCCCATGGGAATCCAGACATGATGTAAAAAAAAATAATATCTTGAAACACTATGAACCTGATGTAATATTTGGATCAAATATGAACTTTTGCTCCAAGATTGTTCATCTTCTGTGTATGATTACTTTAGCAGAGTCTGACAAGCTCACTAAATGTAATAATTGCGGGCACTTTTCTTCCCACACTATTTTCCTCCTGCAAGGGAATTTTTTCTCTTTCCATGGAAGTGAAAGGGAGGAAAATTAACTCAAGAGCTCACATCACTGAGGCAATGTTTTGAGTAGAGGATGGGATTTTAGAGAAATAGATGTGTTTTCGTTCAGTTAAGAATTCAAGGGAAGGGAAGGAAAGAGAAGAGAAGGGCAGGGAAGGGGAGGGGAGGGAGGGAGGAAGGGAGGGAGAGAGGGAAGAAAAGGAAGGAAGGAAGGAAGGAAGGAAGGAAGGAAGGAAGGAAGGAAGGGAAAAGATGGGAATGAGAAGAGGGTAGGGTAGGGTAGGGTAGGGTAGGGTAGGGAAGAGAAGGGAAGGGAAGGGAAGGGAAGGAAAGGAAAGGAAAGGAAAGGAAAGGAAAGGAAAGGAAAGGAAAGGAAAGGAAAGGATGGGAATAAGAAGAGGGTAGGGAAGGGAAGGAAGGGGAGGGGAGGGGAGGGAGGGAAGAAAGAAGGAAGGGAAGGAAGGAAGGAAGGAAGGAAGGAAGGAAGGAAGGAAGGAAGGAAGGAAGGAAAAGATGGGAATGAGAAGAGCGTAGGGGAGGGAAGGGAAGGAAAGGAAAGGAAAGGGAAGGGGAGGGGAGGGGAGGGGAAAGGAGGGGAGAGGAATGTGAATTAGATGATAATCAATGTTATCTACATCGCTGAGAACATTTGATAATATATAGGCATTGGGATGCTGGGATGTTCAGATCTTAGAAGTTAGCTTCCTTTTTTGTCTTGGGGAAATCAGATAAAGATAATGGTCCATGTGTGCCACCAGATCCTGAAGAAATGTTTGGTACAATAAACCAGGTCTCCAAACACTTAAGTTTGTGGCTTCTCTATGGCTGGATCTTCTTATATCATATTTCAAGCTAGTCAGTGACCAAAATAAACTATCCATCTATCCATCTATTTAAGGGATATAGTGTAGGGTTTCCTGCTTGACCAGGGAATTGAACAAGAATACCTCCAAGGTCTCTTCCAAATCTGTTTTTCTGTTATTCATCTATCCATCCACTCTATCTATCTATCTATCTGTCTGTCTGTCTGTCTGTCTGTCTGTCTGTCTATCATCCATCCATCCATCATCTATCTATCTGTCTATCATCCATCCATCCATCATCCATCCATCCATCCATCTATCATCTATCTATCTACAGTATCTATCTATCTATCTATCTATCTATCTATCTATCTATCTATCTATCTATATCTATAATCTATCTATATATCAATCATCCATCCATCCATCCATCATCTATCTATCTATCTATCTATCTATCTATCTATCTATCTATCATCCATCCATCCATCTATCCATCCATCCATCCATCCATCTATCATCTATCTATCTATCTATCTATCTATCTATCTATCTATCTATCATCCATCCATCCATCCATCCATCCATCCATCCATCTATCTATCTATCTATCTATCTATCTATCTATCTATCTATCTTCTGTCTATCAATTATCTATCTATCTATCATCTGTCTATCTATCTATCTTTCTTCATCTGTATCAATCATCTATCTATCTGTCTATCTATCTTCTGTCTATCAATTATCTATCTATCATCTGTCTATCAATCATCTATCAATCATCTATCTATCTATCTATCTATCTATCTATCTATCTATCTATCTATTATCTGTCTATCAATATCTATCTATCTATCTCTATCTATCATCCATCCATCATCTATCTATCTATCTATCTATCTATCTATCTATCTATCTATCATCCATCCATCATCTATCTATCTATCTATCTATCTATCTATCTATCTATCTATCTATCTATCTATCTATCTATCCATCATACAGGGATATCATATAGCATCATTCATTCCAAACCCATTCCATCTAGAGTTGTTGGGCATTCAAAATTAATATTTTGTGGGGGCCACCAAGTTCCAGAAGATGACCTTAGATAATTTTTAGCTTTGTTATGTTTGGGGTGGGTGGGTGCGGAAAGTAAGATAAGAACTTAGCAGTTAATACAATAGTTTCCCACTTTGTGGGAATTTTAAGAACTTATTTCTCTGGATAAAAAATTTTAATAGGAAAAGATATTTGTTCTCTAAAAGTAAAGTGAAAGAAACATCTGTCTGTTAAGTCCCATCACAAGGAAGAACCAGATGGTCTTCTCAGTTTCAGGGAAAGAAGTAAAATTTTAGATTTCAAGTTTCAGTTGAAGTACAGATATCTAAAAATGAGAATTCTTGTTGAAACTGTTCCCGTGGGGCCAGATGTGTTTTACAGGAACAGTAATGTTTTGAGTTCAGACCTTCAGGAATATGTGATATTTTGTTCATTACTCCAGATCTTTAACTCTTTGTTCATAATTTTTAAGCTGTGATCTCTAATATGTTATGGCATAATTTACAACAAACTAAAGGATCCTACCTGTGTGTTTTATATGTTTGTGAATGTATATGTGAATATATTCATATACACAATTGGGAATAGACACACATACAACATAAGCACACATACAAAACACTACATATTTTTTAAAAAGAAGCAAAAGAGTCTGAGAGATGAAAGCATAATAATGTTGATTTTTTTTTTCAATGGGTTGCCTTGCTTTTTTCATTCTATATAATTTTTGTTCTTGTTAGTTGCAAAGTCGTGTCCGATCCTTCGT